AACAAAAAAAAAAAAAAAAAAAAGAGTGAGCCGAGACATAAAATCTAGAGAGAAACACATAATTCCAAAAATTAAAAAAACCTAATATAACCTGCAATATTATAAATGAATTTCACAGACATGATATTGACTGAAAGAGGCACAGAGTGTATACCATATGCTCCCAATGCCACAAAACAAGTGGCAACCGAAACCTGAATAGTGGGAGGTTCTATACAGAAGACTGCTAGGGTGCTGGGAACATTCAATAGCTGGATCTGGGTATGGTTAATAGACACATACACATGTACAAACTCTGATGAGCTGTTCCTTTACGATGTGTGTGCATCACTAGATGTACATTAGACCTCGATAATAAAAAGGAAAATAGTTGAAAAAACAAACATTGGAAGCTGAACTATCAAAAATAGGAACAGTTAGTATTATCAGTTTTATGTTATCTTCTCTATATTTCATTTAAAAGTGGAAAGTTGGAAGGCTGAGGCGTAAGGATCTCAGGAGCCCAGCAGGCCAACACTGGGATGGCCGTGCACTCCAGCCTGGGCAGCGAAGTGACACTACAACTCAAAAATAAATAAATAAATAAAAGTGGAAAGTCTAATGGCTCACGCCTATAATTCCAGCATTTAGGGAGGCCAAGGTGAGAGGACAGCTTAAGCCTAGGAGATTGAGAATAGCCTGGACAACATAGTGAGCCCTAGTCTCTACTAAACAAATTTAAAAATTAGCTGGTATGATGGCATGCACCTGTACTTCTAGCTACTTGAGAGGCTGAGGTGGAAGGATCACCTGAACCCAGGAAGTTGAGGCTGCAGTGAGCCGTGAAGGCGCCACTTCACTACAGCCTGGGTGACAGACTCTGACTCAAAAACCAAACCAAACAAAAAAATGTAATAAAAAACTAAAAGTGGAAAGTCTAAACATAAAAAAACCAAACATTAATGACTGAAGTTATCCATCTTTTAAAGAACAAATACCAACCAGGTTTTTGGTTTTCTGAGTTCGTCTCAGGCTCAGTGTCTCTTTCTGTGCCCCCGTCCTCTTGCTGTGTGCTCTGCAGACAAGCAGTATCTTCTGCTGGAGGAGGTGTCCTAGGCAGAAGAGGTGGTGGTTAACTCGGACTTCAGGAGATGACTGGGCAAAGGTCTGGCTTTCTGCAGGAGCTTCCCAGCAGAAGGGAAGACAGGCATGACATGATAAGTGCTGTCACCCTGGAGCAGAGCTACACAGGGCTTGTGGCTCGTTCACAGATGACCTGGACAGGGCCGCCAGCTCTGCTCACTGCTGTGTCCCCTGCGCCAAGCATAGTACACGAAAAGGCACCAACTCATTTGCCAAGGTAGTTTTCCTCTCACCTCCACTGAACTGTGGGAATGACGACCCACGCTGGCAGCTGCCCACTTCAAGCAGGGTAAAGGGGCACAGGGTGAAAAGCCAGGCTCCCCCCGCCCCTCCTTGCTCTCAGGCCGTCTTCCCGAGACCATCCCCATGACCAGCTGGTGCTCATCTCCAGAAACAAACTATCGCCAACTTGATCTCTCTCCCTAAAACACACACACATTTAAACACAAGGAAACCTACTAAATGCAACATGCTGTTTCTTGTTTTCTTATACTTAATAACTAGCTAGAGATAAATCGTGTGGTTCTTGTGGTTCTCTGAGCAGGTAACCACATCTGTGTGTGTTCAGTATTTAAAAATAAGTACAGGCCAGGCTCGGTGGCTCAGCTTGTAATCCCAGCACTTTGGGAGGCCGAGGCAAGTGGACTGCCTGAGTCCGCAGGTTCGAGACCAGTCCCGGCAACTTGGTGAGATCTTATCTCTACAATAAATAAAAAATTAGCCACGCGTGGTAGCGATTGCCTGTAGCTCTGGCTACCTGGAAGGCTGAGGCGGAAGGTTCACCTGAGCCCAGTAGGTTGACACTGGGTGGCCGTGAGCACGCCACTACACTCCAGCCCGGGTGACGGAGTGAGACTCCAACTCAAAAAATGAATAAAATACGTAAGCAAATAAATAAATAAGTACAAAGGTCTACACGGTGAAAACCTCCCTCTCAGTCTTGCTTCCCAGCCTCCCAGCTCCCCCCTTCCTCGAGGGTGTTCATGTAATTTGGGCTTTTTGTACACCTTTTAGAGCTAATTCAAGCCAAAATGAACAAGCCTCCGAGGAGACGTCCCTCGGGGCCCATGGCATGGCTCTCTGCAGACGGCGCGAGGCACTGCTCCAGCCGCCGGGGGGCCCTCCTCAGGCCTTACCCGCCTCACCTCTGCAGCCGCCCGCCCTCCTCTTCCCCCTTGCCACTGGCCTCCTTCACGCGATGCTCCCGTCAGGCCTGTTCCTTCCTCCTCACACACTCATCACGCGGAGACTCTCCTCAGACTCCAGCAAACCAAGAACCTCCCAGCGGCTTTCCTGAACTCCAGGCTTACGTTTCAACACTAAAACTTAACAAAGCCACACTCAGTGCCTCTTCCTGTCCAATGGGCTGCTCTCTGGGAAACGCCTGTACCTGCCAACTGTCTCGCGTCCTGTGGGACACTAGGGCTCAGAACTGCAGAGCCAGCTCCCCCACATCTGCCAGCTGGTCAGTCCTGTGACTTCCAAAGCCGCCTGTGCTCTCTTCCAGTTACTGCAGCATGGGGCCATCCTCCTCATTTCTGACGACAGTCACTGCCCGCTTCCCTATTCGTCTCACCATGCACTGTCCTCCTCACCTCAGTGTGCTATTTTTTTTTTAAGTTGAAGTCTCACTCCGTCAGCCAGGCTGGAGTGCAGTGGCATGCTCACGGCCACCCCAGCGTTGACGTGCCGAGCTCCGGCGATCCTTCCACCTCGGCCTTACACGTAGACAGAACTTAGGTATGTGCTACCATGCCTGGCTAATTTTTTAATTTATTGTAGAGATGGGGTCTTGCTAAGTTGCCCAGACTGCAATTTTTTGATTTATTGTAGACACAGGGTCTCACCATGTTGCTAGGCTGGTCTCAAGTCCGTGGTCTCAGGTCTCTTGCCTCAGCCTCCCAAAGTGCTGGGATTACAGGCTTGAGCCACCGTGCCTGGCCTCAGTATGCTATTTATTCAGTTGTATTTTAGAATTTTACAAAACTTTTCACTGTTCACTGGTCATCTACTTCGGTTTAAAGGCTGGAACTTGATCGTCAGAGTGGTCTGCACCTAGCTTCCAACCCAGCCTTGTAAACCTGCTTTCTACCAAACTCCACCACTTACCGTGTACTCTTAACTTGCTACAAACTCACCCCTATCTCCTCATCCTTTCTCAAAAAGTTGCTTCCCCACAGCCTTAAATAGTGTCCCTGTCTCCCTCTTCAGTTCTTGGAGAACACCCATCTTGTTCTCTAAGAACTGTTTGAAATGGAGTCTTCTTCTGGGCAGGCTCCCTCTATAAAACCCCCAAGTATCCGCACCTTTCTCTGCTCTGTGTTCGCGACCCTGGGTATGTCACACTCCTGCTCAATTACAAAATCACAGCATGGAAGGGGATCATGCAGAGCCTTTGCACAGAGCTGAGGCTCAACATTAAGTGTTTCCCCTAAGCAACCAAGCCTCGTTTTTATTAAATCTGCAAAGCTGTAGTGACAGCTTGATTTCCAGAAGAATATCCTGAGGAGGGATCCAAGATGACTAACTGGAAGCAGCTAGTGAGTGACTCTCTCAGAGAGAGGGTCTAAATAGTGACTATTAGTTCTTCAGGAGCCCGTCTAGAGGACCGTCTTGAAGTTCGCTGGAAAAGCATCGGGGTTGCTGAGAACAAAGGAGAGCGAGTCCCAGCAGCCCACCAAACCGGCCAAGTCAAGCTCCAGGAGAGGATTCCCCACGAAGGGAAGGCGTGAGTGTCTGCAACCCCTGAGGTCTCACACACCTCTCATGGGCCATGGCAACCCTAGTCCAGGGAAGGAGCCCCTCAACTCCCCCTGACAAGAGGTGCACCACTCAAGCACATGTGGAGCCCAGCAGGCTCCTGCTCCCTGAGAGGTCTGGCCCTGGCTGCTACCACCCACCAAAGAAGGAGCCCCCGCCAAGGACAGACATTGCAGTTGTGGACTGTGACACCCCGCTGACCTGGCGGTCAAGAGCCTACAGAGGCCGGCTCAGCCTCCCATGACTTCCCCTCCCCCACTGCCTCTGCCCCTGCATCTCCAGGATTCTCAGCCAGTCAGGCCTCTGCCTCCTGCAGCTTAGGGAGGGAGTCGAGAGAAGGGACAGACACATGCATGCACGGAACCAACATCACAGCCTCACGTCCCCCTGGCTTCCAATCAGGCAGAGAAAAGATGTCCCACCCCACCTGGATTCTGCAGCAGAGTGCTGCCAGGCTCTTCCCAGCTGCCGCCACTGCTGCCTCTGCTCTACCCACACACAGGCCAGAGAAAGAACTTCTCCGTGACTCAGCCAGGAAGGGCCCCTGCCACCTGCAGCTTAGGGAGAGAGTGGAGAGACAGGTAAGGTCTGGGCACCCAGGACCAATACCACAGACACCCACCCCTGAGGCTTTCATCCAGGCAGACAGCGCCCTCCGACCCTAACTGAATTCTGCGGCAGCGTGCTGCCAGGCTCTTCCCAGCTACGCCTCCCACATGCAGGCCACAGAAGGAAGGGGGAGGAAAGACATTTCCACGGCTTCCAGCTAGCACCACTGTCTCCATCCCCGCTGCCCACAGGTCAGGAAGGGAGTAAAGAGACAGGCCACTTCTGTATATCCAGAGAACTGATGTCACAGACACCCATCCCCATGACTTCTTCCCAAGGGGGAACTCCTGGCGCCGCAAAGGCGCCCTGTCCTGCCTAAATACTAAAGCTGTGGTTCAATACTTCCCTGAGGACAAAACCTCCAGAGGTTGCTGCGAGGCCCTCCCAAATCACCACTACCCACTGCAAGTCAGAGACAGGACAGGGAACCGGAGCACTAACCCTAGCCAATCTACCATACACAGCATATACCACAGACATATCCACAAGGGAAAAAAAGAAGAAAATTTTAAGAAGCCTCATCCCAGTAATAGTAGGCTTAAAAAAAGAAAAGAAAAGAATATTCTCCCACAGATGAGAAGGAATCCACGCAAGAACACTGGCAGTACCATAAGCAAGAGTGTTTCCACAGCACAAAGGATTCCACCAGCTCCTGACATCAAACCCCACCAGAATGAGCTTTCCCTGATGACAGAGAATTCAGATTATGGTGGCAAAGAAGCTCAACAAGATCTAAGAGAAGTAGATACTCAAACAGGTCACAAAAACAGTCCAAGAATCAAAAGCTGACAAAGCCATTCTAAGAAAGAACTAAAGTCAACTTCTGAAGAATTCAGAACTTTGCTTCAGGAATTTCAAATCACAGTTGCAAGCCTTAAAAGACTTGACCAGGTAGAAGAAAAATGTAGAACTGGAAGGCTCATCTTTTGAATTAACCCAGTCAGGCAAAAATAAAGAAAAAAGAACTTTAAGAAAAGAATAAAGCCTTTGAAAGGTATGGGATTATGCAAAGAGACCAGATTTACATTTGACTGGCATTTCTGAGAGACAAGTCAAAAATGAAAACAACCTGAACAACTTTTTAAAGACATAATCCAAAAAAACTTCTCCCATTTTGCTATAAAGATTGCCATGCAGACAGAAGAAATTCAGTGGTACATTTAGTCCGTTCACATTCAGGCTAATTATTGAGATGTGCGAGTTTATTCCTATCATGAAGTTCTTATAGAGTTTACTGGTGTTGCTGCTGCTTGTTTTCTTGTTGTCTTTCTTTTGATTTTTGGGTTGATTCATGTGTGTTTTCAATCTTTTTTCTGCATTCTTGTAAAGGGCACTGTCGATCTTTTTTTCCTTTCTTTGTGTTTGATACTTTATTAAATGTTCCTATAGAGCTGGTCTAGAGGCAGCATAAACTCTTAGGGATTGAACATCTGGGAAGGATTTAAATTCTCCACCACTGATGAAACTTAGCTTAGCTGCGTAGGTAATTCTTGGTTGAAATTGTTTATCTTTGAGGACTTTGAAGATTGGGCTCCAAGCTCTCCTAGCCTGAAGTGTTTCTGTAGATAAGTCTGCTGCTATTCTAACTGGTCTTCCCCAG